CCAGAAAGGGGGGGGGGGGTCATTAGACACTTGGCTCCCTTTCTTTATAAATGTTCTTCCCATGTATGGATTATTCTTTGTACATCTTTGCTGCATCCATGGCTCTAATGCAGTAAATCTTTGTCTCAAAACACTGCCTGAGAGCAGTGTACATCCTTTACCAATAAGAGTGTTCTATCAATTAGCATAAATGAATATTCATCAGGAGTGTCCTGTGTGATTTGAAAAAGACTCTCTCTTATTGGCTGTTCAACTGTAGCCAATCAGGAGCCATCTTATTCATTCACTGGGTTTGATAACTTCATAATACTTGTAAACTTGAAAATACTTCAACCATGCTCTTGAATCTGATAAGTAAGATAACATGGCGTTCCAATGTTTTTCTAAAATTTCTGTGGTGAATTTAATATATTCATGAAATAAATTTTGAATTTGATGTGGATGAAATGTATTTTGTCCAAATAGCATGATTGCACTACTATATATATATGTAGCAGAATTTTAGTTCTTTTCAGGGAAAGCTATAATTACTGTTCAAGTTTTTTTGATATGCTTATTTTATAGCAAATTTGTATTTTGCATTTTTAGTTTGACTTTTTCAATAATAACATACATTATGCATGTTTGTTATAGTGGGGTAAAGGCTGGTGTTGAGATGCTAGAACTGGATTGTCAGCTCACCAAAGATGAACAAGTTGTGGTTTGCCATGACAACGACTTAGAAAGAATTGCTGGTTATGATATGCTGGTGTCAGACACAGATTATGAGGTATTTCATAAAAATGTATGACTGTTTGTGAATCAGTGGCGAAAGCTTTTTCATAACAGGTTTGTGTGCCTGCACTATGTTAAATAAGGATATCCTCTTTGACTTATGACCTAGTTTCATATTCTTTTTCAGACAGGTACTAATTCCAAATACAGAATTTTCTCACATCGACCAATAGAAAACACATAAAGCAAAAATTTCATTTATTATTAATTTTATTTCGACCATAGATTCGTATCTAAATACCGTGTTGTATGTTAGCATTAATGTCTCTCGCTCAATTATGTTACGCTTGATTTGAACAAAACATGCCACTGAATTCAAAATTGGTATTAAAAATACAAATGCATTTTTCAATTTGTTTTATTTTCTAGGATCTGCCACCAATGAAACAGAATCTGCATGTCTCGTTTAGTAAAGGTACGTTTAGACTTTATATATTTTGCTACATAGTGTTATATTTAATCGAGTTGAATATCTAGTGTCAGAATAGTTTTGTTGACAATATCGATGATTGCATGACTTTTTACTACAAAGTGACCAACACTCACAAAACTGCTCTATGTTGTTGTAATACAGGGGTCAAAAAAATAACATGTGCTCAAAAGATATCACGTGTTGTGGATGGAATATCGCAAACGTTGGCAACGCTTTAACTTGACTTTCACTTGACTAACTTTTCCATGTTCAATTTCCTTGTTTTATTACAGATAAATTTTGTAATGGAAATGATGATAGACGAATACCAC